TAAAAGCTTTAATTCAGTCTTCACAATAAAAGCTTACATTCTGGTGGGAAAGGAATTAACTAATTAATTCCACCACAGTTTCTTAAAGATAAATATAAGAAGAGTTCCACATATATTTGCTGAAATCCAAATTCAGGCGTGAAAAACACTATTCCATAGTAAATGTTTTCACCATGAACCTCATGAAACAATTATCTACAGAAGCCAATGTACATAACTTAGAGTAGAACAACTGCCGTGACAATGTTTACTGTTTATTTAACATTACAGCTCAGCTCAGAAGATACAAAGTAATATAAAGTGTCTTATTTTAGCAGAATTGTAACTGTCTTTCTGGGTCTAGAGCATTTTTTTTTCTTAAAACTCATTTTTCAGTAAGTAACATTTCTCAAGGTTTATAAATTAGTCAGAAACCACCTTTTAGGTTCTGTAATACTAACAATACTTTATACTCAAAAAGTGTGTTCAGTAAGACTCTTTCTAAAGATACCTTTTTTCCTAGTTACATGAGGTGTCGGCCTCATGTGTGTTTGTGTCTGTAGGTCATAGAGACATTTTATGGTTATGATGAAGAGACTTCAATGGATTCTGATGGATCATCTTTGTCCTTCCACACCGACAGAACCCCGGATACAGAGCCTGATGAGGTAAATACACAGAACTTAAACACATATCAGATCAGATCTGAGTCAAACTTCTTAATGACCTCAGGAACATCAGCCTGATTAATTCAGGTCCTGATGGTAACTCTCCATATGAGAGATTCAGACCAAGAGCTTGAGGACTTTAAAACAGAGATAAGCAGCGGTGGTTCAAGAAAAAATGTACCAGGGGGCCAGGAGGGGGCCAGTGTGTTTTCATAAGGGCAACAGAAAGGCATGAAATACAAAACAGGCAAGGGATTCAAATATATGAAGATAGCTGCATGAAGTGAAATTTCTATTTAATTAGGTTTAATTAAATTTCCTTGTCTTATTAGGTCAATATACATTCATAATTTAGGAGTTTTAAATATTTTTTACTTAATTTAAGTTAAAACAACCGTTTTCTATTAAATCTGAATTAGAACTCAAGAAAAACGGAGAAATTCAGGAGTATTTTTTTCTTATTTGTTTAGAAAAAAAAACATTAAGCAGATGAAAACTGGGGTCATATATCAATGGCACTGAAGCTATCACCTTATTGTTTTTAAATAAACATTTTTTTTTAATAATAATTTTAAAAAAAAGAAATAGATCCAAAGGATCTATCACTAACCATGTCTGTTTCATCATTTCAACTTCGTTGAGTATTATGTCTTCGGTACAGGGGCCATAACAGGGGCCAAGATATGATCTTACAGGGGCACTGGACCCCGTTTGCCCCTCTCTAGAAACGCCCATGGAGATAAGGACATTGTTACCTTATTACCGTATACACAGTGAACAAACATTAAACAGATTTTTTCCTGCTTAACGATGCTGGTTTCAGGCTTGTGTACGAGAGGAAGCAGAGCTTCGTTACCGCCAGCTTACTCAGGAGTATCAGGCTCTGCAGAGAGCGTATGCTTTGCTGGCTGAGACGTGTGGAGGAAACTATGACGCTGAAAAGGAGATCAAGGTGGGGTGACCTTTGAGCAAGGCAGCAGTGTACTGCTTAAATGACTCTGATCACACACAGGGTGACGTTTTTTTTTTTTTTTTTTTTGTGTTTCAGACCAGAGAGCAGCTGCTGAATGAAATCAGTCTATATCAGAGCAGAGTGGCAGATCTGGAATCAGCGCTGAAACATCAAGGATTGGTAATTGCAGTAAATCAGATAGAAATGAAGGTCATGATAGACGCACAGATTAGTCAGAGAGTCGGGGGGTTCAGCCGTTTGTATGGGGATAGGGCCCGGACATCCTTACATTCATTTCTCATCTAAAATGTGTTTTATACTGGTTTAAAATTGGACCCCTCAGAAAGTCTTTATATTTATGAAATGAATAATAAAACACTGATTTTAAACTATAAAAACAATGATATAATGATAAGTAGGTCCATCCTTAAACTCTAATCCTTTCCTCTCCTTTAGGAATAGGAAGAAATTATGTTGGTTGTTTGTACAGGAAGTTTCCATGCTTACTGTCATCTTTAGATCATTATAGTAGTTAAAATAAATCACATTTATACTCTAGTTTTATTAATGTAGAAAATGTTATTTATAATATCAGCAGATCCTGGGATTAGTGAAAAGACTAATGGAACCTGCTGGAAGGTGTCTGTTGATCTATGCTGTGCTTTTCTTCAATCCATCTCTCCATGTATGTTTGCTGCTCTCAGGACGTGAAGTGGGTGGAGGAGAAGCAGGCGCTGTACCAGAGGAACCAGGAGCTGGTGGAGAAGGTGAAGCACTGATTTGCCCTGTTTATTGAAAGTCCTGTTAGTAGGACTTTATAAGATCTTCTAAAAGACGATGTGCTAACAAACTTTGCCATAAAAGTTGGTTCAGATTGTTTACTGAACCAAGACAGTGTTTAACAGAGGAGAGATAACAACTGCAGTATGAAAGTAAGCATTTTGTTGTGCTGAGTCATGAATGATGCCAATTATCTGGGCTTGAAGAGCAGGACAAAGGCTTTGTTATTTCTGTAAGCAGATTATTAAATTTTTTAATAGTTATTTTTCAAGGAGAGCTTGGTTTGGCTTGGAAGTTAAGAAAAAATTACAGAGATGGACTATAGCTATATCATATAACACAAGGATGGAGCAAGGGGAAAGTTTTGGGACTAACTAATGACCAATGAATCCAGGTTATATAGGACCATTTCACAAACCTTGTCATAATCAGGGGACTTTACAAAGATAGTTTAATATCTTTGCAGATCATGCAGTTGGATTGGTAAAAAATGTTTTCTATCAAAAGCAAACCAGATGATTGCAACGAGTCTTTGGCTTTGCGAGATTCTCTCCTTCTGGATGGCATGTAGAAATTAATTTGCATTGTATTGTTGGCTCTACAGCAATCTTTCACACCGAGAATGCATGCAGCAATGATGGAGAGGAAAATCTTCCTTTTAACAGGAAGAAGCCTCCAACAGAAAGAGGCTCAATGTGAGCAGCATTCAGCCTAATCCACCTGGTTCAATGAAATGGAAGAAGACAGACAAGGGAATATAGAAGCACTGATCCATAAATACTTTCTATGTTAGAAGTGATAACGGTAAGCTAGCTCCATAGGTGGTCTGTCTAGGAAAGAAAAAGTTGAGCAGACAAGGGAAGAAAGAGAGTACATAAACTGAAAAAAGTGTAACATGTAACTGTTCATTCAAACTAATGCATTTCACTCTAAACTAGATAAAATTATTGATTTGATTGTGTAACTCATTCTTTTTGGATTTTGTGACATCAAGTTTGATTTAACCTTAATTAAATACACGTAGAAAGGACCCAAAACAAAGTTTTTGATTTCTCTTAATATTCATATATTTATCCATGGCCTGCAAGTTATTTTTTTTTGTTTGAGTCAAATGTGAAGTGGTGCAGTGGCTAGCACTGCTGCTTTGCAGCAAGAAGGTTGTGGGTTTGAATCCCGGCCTGGAATCTTTCTGCATTGAGTTTGCATGTTCTCCCTGTGCATGTGTTGGTTGTGTAAATTATCCTTAGGTGTGAATGGTTGCATTGTGCTGTGATGGACTGGCAAATGTTCAGGGTGTATAGAGTTTGTAAGATGGGAAATGGAAATTACTTTTGAAGTAAAGTCAAATGATATGAGAAAAATCTAATTTTGTTATATTTCAATTTCTATACAAACATTAATTATTGTTAATTTAGTTAAAAGTATGTATATTAGATTGGTCCAATGTCAATATATTAGTGTGGTTCATCAACTGAAATGTTTAGAAAATCATTTGGAACAGAGCAAAGATTTTAAGTTGTGTCAAGTGCAGTATTATTGTTTACATCAACATAATATAATCAGGTCATAACAAGCAATTAAATTCAGATTTTGTAAAGTCAAATATTTTAGATGTGATATCATGACATCATTCTTTTTAGTTTGAGCAAGGTTATACTTTTTCCAGTGTAAAGTTAAGTCACATTTAAAGCTGAGCCCATAACTATACACTGGATAAACGATCTAGAAATTTGTATTTACCCTTAATTTGAGTAGTAAATGTAATAGTTTGCCAATGGAATGAGGATTTTTAATCTGAAAATAAGATAATTAGATAAAATGCACTGGAAATAAGACAATGCAATTGTATTTTCTTATTTTAAATGTAAATTGTCTTGTTCTATTAGAAAAATGTCTGTTTAACATCCTTAATTCAAAAACAAATGCAGTTATTTTAAGAAAAAATAGATTCATCTATCATATATAGAAGGGGGACAGAACTAAGCATTGAAAAACAGGCTAAACTCCAACATCTCAAATCAAAGGTGTGAATAACCGCAGCAAAGCTAGTATTTTGACGCAGGGTTGTGTCACAGCCACACAGAAAGAGACCAAAGTCAGCTACTATGACAAGAAACAACAGACAGAACACAAAGTTAGGGTCATACTAACAGGGACTACATTATGGGAGAAAAGAGAAAGATTGAAGCAGAATGACGGAACCTGATAGGGTTATCGTTAAGAAGGTTTCTTAACTAAAGATTTCCTCATAGCTGCCTTAAAAACTCTGTAGTTCATATTCCTGTAATAGAGATAAATAAATCGTATATAAAATGGAGGTGGAAATCAGAGGGAATGCTTTCAGTATTTAACACTAAATCAGATTGGAATGGAGAAGGCTAAGCTAAAAATTTAAATCAACAACCTTGTGTGCGATAAAAGGTTACATGCAAAAATCTAAATTTATATCAATTATTTCCTAAAAATTTGAGTGTGGGAATTTAAAGGTTAGATGTATAAAAGAAGTGTCACTAGTAAATGGCTTTAGACGTATCAATAAATCAGACTGAAAGATTGTTCCTACTCCTCACCCAGGATTTCTGGGTGAGTAAAAATTAGACCATCTGGGGGGAGTTGCCTCTTAATATAACCATCTTGCTGCATCCAGCTTTCTTTAAGACAACATAAATCTATTTGATTATCACATCTTAAGTCATCACTAACATGCTCTTTGAAGACAGAGATCTTATTGAACCACATTTAAAAGTTTTTATTTCTCAGCTATATTCATGTTAATTTTAGTTAGATTATCATTATTTATCCTTTGGAATTGTTTTCTAATTTATTAATAAAAAATATATATATATTTTTTTTGTCATCACTGGTTAGATTAGAGTGGGGTACAGATAAAATTACAACAAAATTTAGATTTAGATAATCAAAAACATTTCCCTTGTGTCTTCGCAGCTTAAGGTATATTGACTGTGTTGAACTGATATTTTACTATTTCAAATCAATTTTGTGGAGGTAAGAGGTTGTGGGACATGTGGACTGAAGCCAGAACAACTATTTAAATGTTTTGTGCTGATTTGATGGTACCTCTCAGGTAAAACAGATGGAATTTGAAGAACTGCGTCTGAGAAACGACATTCAGGATATCAGAGACCAAAATGAGCTGCTGGAGTTCAGGATGTTAGAGCTGGAGGTAAAAATTTCCACTTCCTTCATTATCAACATATACATTTATTATTGTGTGTCTGAAGGTGTGTGGGTGCGTGAATTCCTGTTTGGCCATGTGAGTGAGAACCATTTTTATTATATTGCAATCAAAGTGAGGTCCAGTTGTTGCAAAGTGTGAACATTTTTCTTGTCCTCACAAACTATTTAGCAATGGGTTTGGTTTGAGGCTAAGGTGGGGGTGGGTAGGGGGTGTCCGATTAGTAAAAATCTTTCAATCATTGTCTCCTTTTCCATGAAACAGGAGAGGGAGCGCCGCTCACCTGGTTTAAACTTCAAACATCTAATCTTCCCAGAAGGTCTCAGCCCCCTTCAGATCTATTGTGAGGCCGAGGGGGTGACGGTGAGTAACCGCACATCCAAAACCCGGACTCAGCAAACATCCCAAATAGACTATCTACCGGAACCTTCCTGTTTTCTATGAAATCTACATCTATCCTCTTATGTGCATGAATCTGGTCCTGTTCCTGGACAGTCCTGTCAGCTCATGAACTTACCTGTGGAATAACTTCTGTTCCAACAGGACATTGTCATCAGTGAGTTGTTAAAGAAGTTGGACATTCTGGGGGATAACGCCGTAAGTGTATGTTGAATTTATCTTGTACATGTATGTGTATCCATTCCCCCCTGTGTGTGCTAAGGAATATGTGCCCAACCTTGAAACTTCCCTTTTGAAATGTTTTACACGTTTAATCCATCCATCAATTTTCATGCTGAGGAGATAACTCAGCCATTTGATTCAGGCGTGTTGGACCAAGGATGGATATAAAAGTTGCAGGATACCGGCCCTCAGGATATGGAATTGCCCACCCCTGTCCTAGTCTTAAGTGAAACATGGTGATCTTGCCTGCTTTTGACATGTTTTCTCCCTGCAGAATCTGACCAATGAGGAGCAGGTGGTGGTGATCCATGCCAGGACGGTGCTCACTCTGGCTGAAAAGGTATGAACCAACTGAATAGGCTTTCAATTCATTCAGTTGTTTGGTCTTAACACATCAGACAATAGATACACATTCAGCCTCACAACTATACCTTATAATGGACATAAAATGAAAACATTAAATGGATTATTGAGTCTTAAAAATTGTTTTTTTTTTTTTCTGCCTAAGATACCAATGCTACCTGTTAGTTGAAATTCATCTATAGGTTTCATCTTGAAACAGGAATGGGAAGAAGCTTGCTTGAATGTTGCAGATCTTATCTTGTCCTGCAGATGGAGCCAGCGGTCACTCCACAGTCCTGCAGTGCAAATCAATCTCACAAACACATCTCACTTTCTAATCTTCCAGTGGTTGGAGTCCATTGAAGTGTCAAAGTCAGCTCTGCAGCAGAAGATGCTGGACATCGAAAATGAAAAGGTAAAAATAAACCAAAAAACTCGAATTACCTGTCACCAGACTTTTCTATTGCCACCATCATATGTTCACATGTTTGGATTTCTGTATGTGTGGGACAGAACAGCTCTGTAATCACATTGGACAAGTAGGCTCCATCTCAAGCACTTTCGTGGACTTAAAGGAACCTTTGAGTGAACAGATTCACGTTTTTTAAAGGCTCTACTGATGTGGATGAGACAACTGAGGCGATATCATCTGATATATTTAAATTTAATAAGAAGAATAAACAAAAAGAGGATGCTCTGCACAGGAAACATACAGTTTGGAGGACAAAGAGAACATCAGATAAAATAATTAAGAAGGAAAAATATTAAAGACAAGTTTCACAGTAATGATCTGAGGGCTGCATGGGAGGGGATGAAGATTTAGCCTACCTGGGACAGGGAGAACGTTCAGCCATTTAACGATGGTGGTTTTGCAGCAATGCCAGTGTTTTCTTTATGCAATGCCAGGAACAGGCCAGGCAATCTCGGCTAAATGTTTAGAATGAGGAAGGTTCTTGATCAGCGGGTCAAATTTACCCTAATGGAGAAGGTACAAAGCAAATTGATTGAATGCAATTTACATGTAGGTTAAGAAAACAGGTAGAAGGTGCTACTGTCACTGTTCCTGCTTACANTTTTTATTTAATTTTTATTAATGTAGCAAAATTATGCTTTTCTCTTTTAACATTGAATTCCTCTTATCAGTACGGATGCTCACATCGAGCATAAAAAAGGGCATATCGCATAGCACCAATGACACCTGACCAATAGTGTCCCTACCAAAGTTAAAATCAAACCTACGCCCTTGGATGAAGATTTAGCCTATCTGGGACAGGGAGAACGTTCAGGCATTTAACAATGGTGGTTTTGTCTTAAATTTGAAACCTGGAAATCCACTGAGAACTAAATTATTTATTTAATCTACTCAGCAGAAAAGCCAGTGTTTCCTTTATGCAATGCCAGGAACAGGCCAGGCAATCTAGGCTAAATGTTTACAATGAGGAAGGTTCTTGATCAGCGGGTCAAATTTACCGTAATGGAGAAGGTACAAAGCAAATTGATTGAATGCAATTTACATGTAGGTTAAGAAAACAGGTAGAAGGTGCTACTGTCACTGTTCCTGCTTACAGGAAAATAAGTGCTAGGCTTTTTATTTGTAGACTTCTCCTCATACTTTTAACACAATCCAGTCACATGATGTCAGATGGTGCCCTCTCCAAGAAAGGTTTTCTCTCCATTCTTTATACAAACGACTGCTACAAACAAATCTGTTCTAGGATGGAGGGGTCCATGATGGTGCATCAGACATAATGAACTAGATGACTAGATAGTGAAGTCCTTTAACAATTACATTCTGACATTGGATGTTCCTCCTCTAACCTCCATATTATCATTAAACATTTGCAGTTTGAACCAATATGGAGCTCCAATTACCCTTGGTGACATAGGCTAACCAAGATTTTAGTTTGTGCAATGCCTAACAATGAGAATCTGATCGTTATAGCTGACAGGTTTTCAATCAATGCAACCGTTGAAATAAGCAGCTCCTCTGCCTGACATCCATCATGGTTGTTATGTTATTGCTTATAGCATACATGTGTAATTCATGGTTATGATTGTTGTGATTGGTGATTTTTTTCTGATGCCCTCCACTGACGTATTGTCTCTGCTAGGCTATGATACAGTGACTGTGATGTATCCCCTGTTGTGCTGCAGATAACAGCTTTAATCTGAACTTCTTATGACAGTTAAAACTTTAATATTGTAGAAGCAGTTGGATTTATTTAACTGTAGCTTATGTGAAACAAGTCTTCATGACATAAAGCTTTACATCTATCGAACTGTGATCTGATCATTAGAGCCAGAATAAAAGGATAGATACATGGTTTAATGTAAATGGGGGTGCTTGGACACCAGTTTTCTAATAATTTCTTACTAATGTTTGTAGTAAAAACCTAACAAAGGTATAAATAAACAAGTTACGTAACGTTAGATCTGACCACAACATCAGTAACAAGGACCCTTTATTTACGTTGATCAAGAACAGGATCATTTATGACATGTTTCTTCATCAGGTTTTACAGAAATGTTTGTAGCATGAAAATTTAAGTTGTTTCCTCACTTACTTGAACTTTAAGGCCATTAATAAATAAATCATTGCAGCCGACATTGTGAATTGAAACCAACACAGATTCTCCAGAACTCAGCTCCAACTTAGTTTATCTGACTTCTCCGCAGGATCTCTTCAGAAAACAAAAAGGTTACCTGGATGAAGAGCTAGACTACAGAAAGCAGTCGATGGATCAAGCCCACAAGGTCAGTCTGAACACATTTTGTGATGCTCTTAGATACAACACAAAGACATTTACACTGAAAAACAATCTACTTTATGATCTTCTGATCGAGAATCTTTATCCTCACTTTGAAATGAAATTTACAAATGTAACTACGGTTCTGTGAATCCCAGATGACCACCAGAGGCCGGTGCTGAAATCATACAATGTTCTTTTTGCGCATGCACAGTTCGAGTGATTACACCAACAAAGCCATACCTGTGACACCGCTATATATGAAGCTATATATGAAGCTATATATGCTGGCGCATACAGCATATATAGCGTATATAACAAGAAGGCATAGTTTAGTGTACACACATAGTAGACTGGCATACTAAGAAAAACTTAAAAAATTTCAAAAATATAAAACACAAAGTTAAGAGTATAGAACTGCAGTATAGTGCGTATATAAAGTGCAGTTGGTGTTGCTCAGGCAGGTTATTGGTGGTGCTGCCTAAAAGAGGAAAAGATGAGTAAGAGAGAACCTATCACCGTGCAGGATATGTGTCATGGCTCAGAACTGAGGGCCCAGAATCTGAAGCAGACAGATTTGTGTCATCCACAAAAGCATTTATTATTGTACATAGGATCTGCAATTCAGCAACAAAGGTGTATAAGGTTGGAATCTCTGTAGAGGGAAAAGTCAGGTTAGTGAACACGTAAATCTGACGGAGGGTGATTAAGAGCGTGTGAGTCCCTAACCTGGTTTTAGAGTTCAGTCTGTGCCCAGAAGGAGTAGAATCCAGCTGGATGGCTAGCAACAGGTGAATGCTGCCCAGAGAGTTCCAGGTTAAGTCCACAGGGAGAAACCGACAGGATTTGAATCTTATATACCTGATCGGTCTGAAGACAGATCAGGCATATAAATCTGAAACAGTAGTAGGCAGGATCAAAGGTCAGAGGGCAGAAGTGGTGAGGACCAGGCAATCCGAAAAACAAGAGAAAACTTTCGCTGAAGGCTCTAACAGGCACTGATGACTGGGAGCAAGCAGCTTAAACAGAGGCAGAAGCAGATGGATAAGATGAACAGTGATTAGAAATTGGGCGGAGCAAAGCAGGTGAATGGAATGAACCATTAAACCAGTCATCAGGGCCAAGATCATGACAATATGGTTTTGAAGTTATATAAACCTTTTTTAGAGCAAATCTTTGTTTACTAATGATCTATTTATTGCTATTAACATTACCAGAATTTTAACTACTGATTTACGAAATTCTTCTAACAATACATTTAAATGTATTTCATTAAAACGGTTTTATGTTTTTACTATCAAGCTAATCTAAAACAAATGTTCTTTTAAATACATTTTAGTGCATCACATTTGTGTGTTGATGTGTGTGTGAAGCTGAGTGTTTATGACTGGAGGTTGTAAATGTGCGAGTTACCTGGATGGAAAGTTGGGCAGAATGTTTGACTTCAGAGAGAGGTGATTGTTTTCACATCTCTGGGGGAAAAGCTGTTGTAGAAGCGAATTGTGTTGCCTCGGGTCATCGTGACCCTAAGCTCACAATAATTGAGAACACAGAGCAAGCAGTCTGGGAGCCACGTACACATTTTGGCAATGACAAGTGTTCACAGGCTTGAAGCCACATACTTATTGGCAGTAACAATGTGTTCACAGGCGATAAGCCGAGTACAAGTCTTGAAAAACAAAATCATTAGGCCCACTCAAAGGCCCACTCGCACGCAATCCGGTCACAAGCCAAGAACTTCCAGGAAATGTTATCAGAGCGTCCAGTCGTGCACATACATCCACACAGTGCAATGTTGAAACTATATAAACGCCCAGATTTGAATGAGGAGTTGAGAAAAAGCTAGATGTGTTCTGTTGAAATGTTCAGCGCTGTGTTACGTGTACTGAGGACAGCATGTCAATTTGATCTATAAAATAAACGCTTCTTCTCCCGTCCTGGGGCAATCAGATGATCGACTGAAGGTGTCCTGATTTTTGACCATTGAAAACCACCACACTGTTTGTTAAGATAAAGGTTTTACCTCAAAGACCCAAACTATCTGAAAGATTTTTCATGGTCTTTGTATGATTCAGAGGATCTTGGAGCTTGAGGCCATGTTGTTCGAGGCTCTGCAGCAGGAGGATGCTTCCAGGACTCCGGGACTAATGAAAGGAGGGAGTCGGTTGTCTGACATTTTGACAGAAGACGAGAAAGACGAGTTGAGGAAAGCCATGGATCAGTGGAAACGATGTGTGATGTGTGAGCTAAGAGAAAGAGATGCACAGATCCTCAGAGAAAGGATGGAACTACTTCAGCTCACACAACAGGTGAACATCTAGCTTAATAACAGTTATATTTGAAAATGTCACAGTCTGGTTAATAATCCTTAACAAATCCAGTTTAATCCAGTTGGAATGATCTATCTATGCCCATGAGTAAAAAGCTGCCTCTGGAAACCAAAAGATTTAATGAAATCTCCATTTTACTGTAAAACCTCCTTTAGACAAAGCTGGGTAACATCTGAAAACCAACTTTAAGTAAATTCCCAACTGTGGACAACTGTGTGCAGTTTTTTTACCCAAACCTTTTGGGCATAAAAACTGCTGAGAAGCTTTGATTTCTAGCATCCGTGATATATTATACAGATGTCAGCATTTAGTCCTTAAGGACCACTGTCCTGCACATTTTAAACAAAAAGCAATGAAGCAAAAATGATGAAAAGTGGTCCCCATGTCCTCCAGCAGTCTAAGCCTATAGCAACTTAACTATAAAGATAGCTCAGGATAATCTGAGCACTCTAACTATAAGCTTTATCAAAAAAGAAAATGTTTTAAGCATTGTCTTAAAAGTAGACAGGGTGTTTGCCTCATGGAAAAAAAATGGTAGTTGGTTCAATAGGAGAGCAGCCTGATAATAGATCTGCCTCCTATTCTACTTTTAAAAATTCTAGGAACCACTAGTAAACCTGCAGATTGAGAACAAAGTGCTCAGTTAGGAACATAAAGAGCAATCAGGTCCCTGATATAAGATTGAGCTTGGCCATTCAAGGCTTTACATGTTAGAAGGAGGATCTAAAATTATGATAAAATTTTTAAATTTTGGAGAGAAGGTAGAATAAGAGAAATATGTTCCCTTTTTTCTTTTTTTCATCAGAACTCTGGCTGCAGGATTTTGGATCAGCTGAACCGTTTAATTCCAGTAGACCCACCTTGAAGTAACAAATGCATGGACTAGTTTCTCAGCATTCATTACCCCTGAATAAGATATCTCTAATTTTTTTGCAATATTGTGCAGATGAAAGAATGATGCTCTGTTTAGCTTGAAGCCAAAAAGTTAGCTATATATTCCTAAATTCAAAACAGGGTAGGACACAGTAGATGAATAAAATATGCAGCCAAGCAGTGGTGGGTAGCCAACTTTATAGGCTACTCAAGAGCTAAAAGTAGGCTGCAATAAAACTACTCCTAAAAATATATTCTTTTTATCAAAAATTTCTCATGCAACTAGTCACTACCAAACTCTGAAACTCAGCACCTGTGTGTTCTGTGATGATGTTTATAAACGGCTTTGGAACGAAGCTACAACACAGGGAACACGAAAAAGGATGATGATGAAGGAGATGATGACAATAATATGTTTGTATTAAACAGAGGAACAAGGAGCTGGAGGAATGTATAGAAGCACAGAAACGACAGATCAAAGAACTCGAGGAGAAGGTAAAAAGCATTAATGTGTACAGTAATATAACCCCATACAGAACCAACTCCTTCCCACTATCAGCTCTACTGATTCTTTCCTTTTTTCCAGTTTCTGTTTCTATTTCTATTCTTCTCTTTGGCCTTCATCCTCTGGTCTTGAATGCAGCAGGTGAGTCGCATATTAGGCATGTGCAGTTTAAGGTAATCTGGAGATGTTCCAGGAGTTAATGTGATTGCAGGGATTATAGGGAACATCTAATCTGGTATCCAGAGTTTACCCAAACTGGAGCTGACTAATTTTTATTTCTCAGATTTCACCCCCAATTGTGTGTTAGAGGAAAGTCTCAGCACATAAATCTGATAGCTGGTGGGGGGAACCATTTTACCCTTGTTGAATCCAGACAGCCAGGATTCCATTCTTTGAGATGAATCTGGACCCAGCCGGTTAGGTTGAACAGATCACTGACCCAACTATAAGCAGCTATCAATGACAACTAATTTAAAAAAAAGGGCTGAGACATGAAGTCAATTTGGAGACAACTTTTCAATAAAGGATATACCTCACTTAAAATCACTGTGATCAAAGACAACTGATCAATCTGATATTAAGACTAAAATACTGTAAATGCAAAATATTTTTTATAAAAAATAAATAATTCAATATGAAACAAAAATATCGAGAAGTTTATGAATGAAATATTTTCCTCTCAAAATAAACCTGTTCATCACATAATAATTTATGTGTGATTTAATTCAGTTTTATTCAGTTTATAGAAATAAAAGCTAACATTAAAAAACCCATGAACAGACCCCAAAATAAAGATTTCAACAGGAATAGAACAAAGGACAAGGCCATCATCCTAATCATATTTCATTATAGGAATAATTCAAGAAAATTAAGAAAGTTTTTTAGCTTTTGGTAGCCATGTTTCACCTAGATGTTTTGTCTTGCTGTTTTACCTTTTCATAGCAAATATTTTGACCTTTTTGGGGTTTTTTGTCTCTTTGTCCAGTCCACCAGAGACCACCAGGTGAACACTCAGCAGCGTGGGGTCAGTCTGAAATGGAACCACAGCAGCACCGCAGGATTTTGCAGGCCTGAAACCAGCGGCAACAAAGCACAACTCTACTCTTCCTGCCGTCAGCTGACCGCTGCTTTGTTACGGTCAGTTTCGGTACTGCCTCAGAGATGAAGAGTGGTTTCTGAGGTGATAAAGGAAACCTGAGCTTAGGCCGGTGATACTTGGAATGACAGGAAGATGGCCAGGGTTTAGCTTAAACTGTTCCGTTTAAGAGATTTGAAAAGCAAAGCTGTGATGATGTGAGTCCTGATTGGTCCAGTGACACCCGTGGACTGCAGAGAACCTTGTATTACTAAGGGAGAATTGAAACCAATAGGGGTTTGTCTAAGTTCACTAAACTGCCGTTAGGTGTGAGCGTGTGCGCACGCAATGTTGCGTCTCCCTGTGTTGCCCTTTTATTAACTGGTGACCCCTCCGGGGTGTACCCTGTCTTTTACCCAAAGACTGCTGAAGTCAGGCAACACCTCCTAACCCCCACCCACCCCCCAACTCCTTAACCCTGATTGACAAGTGGTAGAGAGGATGGAGTGGTTCGTCTCAGAACTACACACTGACATCGGAATCGTCTTCACCACATTCACAGAGGTCTGCTGAAGAAGGAAAATTCAAACAGTAGGAATCTTTCAGTGTATTTGGAACCTGATTCCTTGACTTGTCCCAGCTTTGTCCATTAGGGGAGAAGACATCAATATCCCCTGAGTACACTATATGCAGACATAAGAGAGAGTTTGTGATGTCATATATGATCCCTGAAATCTTTGCAGAAATGCGTGCATGAACGTGACATGCATGTGTATCCCAACATGGATAGAAATGTGGCCATATGGAAGCAAAAACTCATTGCCAGAGAAGAAAGTTACAGTTCAGCTTCTTCGCCAGGTGCTGGAGGTGGATCCAACCTCCTCTGTGATTACAAGCAGAACTTTAAATGGGAACTTTTAAAATCCAAACAGTGTTTACCTCGTGGGAAAAAAGCGTATTTTGGTTTCACTCCCAAAATTGATGGTGGATGATACCTTTACAGAGTTAGACGAATTTATTAAGAGATGAAGTTTTTATTCTGCTACTGGAGATAATCACGCAAACCTGAGACATAGACATTTAAATACAGAAATCACTGAATATTTTGTACTTCTAAGTCACTTTTTTTATTTTTTCTAATTAAAGTCATCCTTCAGATCAGCTTTAGTTTGAAGCTTGTTGTCATCATCAGTTTAAGAGTAGAAAGAGCACAACCTCTGTGTAGATCATTATCATCTTCAGCCCCAGCGTCAGGATCCTGATTCCAGACTTTTATTACCCCAGATTCTATTTTTCTACCCTTTGCTGTGAGTCTGTAAAAGTCTGAAGTCATCACTGAGAATAAAATGTTGGACATGAAATCTTAAGTGTTTGTGTTCTGTTATTAATGATGGAAAACAGACAGAAAGAGTTCAGATTTCATTCATCTATAACTGTAAAATATCTACATGAAGGTTGGTGTGTACTTATTGTTTGGCCAACAATATAAACAGAACCTCGGAGCAGAGTTGGTCAGGCCTGGTTCTGGCCCATCCTAATAAATCCATACAACAATTTATTTAACTAAAACAAGATATCATAGACTCAATGTGTGGTACCAACACCTTACTAGTAAATACACATTTGATCTTTTGGGAGCAGTGATCTTAAAAGTAATGGCAGTATGGATGAAAGGATATAGCTCAGCTTCATGTGTGATGTAGAAGATATTGTCCATCAGTGATTTATTTTTTTCTTAGTCCTTATCTCTCTTACCAATTTCACTCTGTCCAGGGTGCATCTTAGAATAGAGCTGGTTCTCCAAATAATTTGCTGCTCCAACATACCACACCACAGAAGATGGCTGATCACATCACAAACTAAAACATTTATAGAGGTATCCCTTCTGTAAAACAGGTATTTGTCTCTTCAACAGGTGAGTCTGCTTTTACTGTCCCTGTTAATCATTTACTCCAGTCCAGTTTATAGTTCCAGTGAACACGCATATACTTAAAAAGAGTCCATTCTTCTTTAAATCAGTCCCTTGGATTTTCACCACTGTAAATGAGGTGGGTGTGTACTGCCGAAATCCACGATCGGATGCTTTGTTTTTCTCCAGTTGATAAGGTGGGTCTGCAGGCACCAGTCTAAAGTGTGGTGGTAAATTTGCAGGGGGATTTACTCAACATTTACCACCTCATCCTGCCTCCAAAAACACAACCATCGCTAGCCCCACATGCAACTGTCCTGTAGCTCCAATGCCAGTCAACATGATGTGCTTCAAATGGATCATCTTGTTAGTGTAACAAATTTAGAAAAGAGGACCCAGTATTCAAGGTGAGACGGACAGTGGGATTATTCAAAAATGCTGATGAAGGTTCTCAGTCATCCAGGACTCCGCAGTACACCTACCTGTACACCTTGTGGACAAAGGACATTCTTTTGAGGACCAGAATGTTCACATCCTGGATAAAGAAAATAGGTGGTTTGAGAGGGGCGTGAAGGAAGCCATCTATGTGAAGAGAGAAAAAACAACTTTAAACAGAGGTGGTGGACTCAGATTCCAGCTGCCATAAACATACAATTCAATCATAGACATGATCCCTTCCAGATATCACCAAACCCCCCACCCCATCACAGAGGAACGAGGGACCTACCCGCTCCAGCCGGTGAACAATACCTCCTTAACGACCAACTCTTAAGGTATTACAGGAGACAATCCCCGCCTTAACGGCAATCCCCCCCCTTTAACGACCGACCCTCAGAATCATAGACAGGTTTCAGATATTACAGGCTAACGACGGAACCAAACGACCCATTCATTGGTTACCATTTGCATGTTTCCAAGCCATACAACGCTTTGTCTATATAAGACTCAAACTCACTGCGGATCCAGACATTTGAATTGAGAAAGCTTCCTGGAGAGGTGGCGAAACGTCTTCAAATCTTGGAAACCAAGTCCAGTGGATATTTTTTGAATTTTTACGGAATGATTATTCAAAAAGCATTTATATAAAACCAGCTAATTGGAGAAGCAGTTGCTACGGCGTCTATCGCAGGAAAATCTGGTTTAACAGATCATATCGTGCCCAGAGAACGAGGTAGGATCCAGCCTGTGGGCTGCCAACAAAATGTAGCGGGTGGCGCACAGAGTGTCCCAGATGCGGAGAACATGCAGAAGTCCGGAGCCTCAGAGGTCCAGGTGTCCAGCACCCTTATGATACAGGAGGTCTTCCACAACTGTTGCACTGATCTTAGCATCAGGATGATGTTGAACATAAATCCCAAGATGTCACACAGCTGATCTGCACAGCTCCTTAGGACCCTGGCGCCAATGCCTTTTGGACCCAAAGCAAACCTCTACTTTCAGCCTTTGTTGCTATTCGTAACCTGAAGTGTTATGATAAACAGGGCATGGTCCATAGTCTCTTTAAACAGTAGGCATGAGGGATTACTGAGAGACAAGAGGTATGCAGTTCTGGGATGAGAAGCAGGCAGTTGTAAAAGACTATGCTGCCTGCAGCATAGGAGGCCCTATATTAACAGGCTGAAAGAGATCCAGGTTGTGATCCTGGAGGGAGGAAGGACTGAATTTTAGACCTCTTTGTAATTGGCATACAACAAAACCAGTGTTTTATTGTCTGCAATGTTCACGGTAACATACTGAGACATGGTGTGTGTGTGTGTGGGGGGGGGGGGGGGGTGCTTATGCTGATGCTGGTAACAGTAGTGTCACAGGAGTGTTTGCTGATTTGGGGAAATACTTTGTTTTCAAAAGGTTGTTTATATTCCCACTGAAGACAATAAAGTCTCATACTAACAACAATTTAATTCCTTCACAGCGCCTCTGAGATTCTTGCACGTTGAGATCTGCACTATCACAGCCATTGTTGGCTCTGAGTAGAAGAAAGCTACGCATGTTAGTCTGGTGTTGCAGCAGGTAACCAAATCTTGGTTAGCATGTTTCCTGCTTGGCTGCACCCTGGTAAGGACTGCTAATTTGTCCACTTGGTTAGGATTGAATCTAGAATTTCCCATTATGATGGAATGATGGGTCTGTACCTTTTCCATGAGTTGTGACAGCTTCTCTTGATTTGTATCATGAACCTTCTTCTCATTATCTCAGAGGGTATTGCATGGTCACACTTGCAGTCTCCAAACACAAATGTCGAATATAAAGATAAAATAAACAGAGTTGTCCACAACAAGGTTCTCTCCATGAAGGGAGAAGCAAGGTGGGTGAAAAAAACAACTTAAAACATGGAATCCATTGATACAGTAAGCCAGTAGTATGATGGGCTCTGAGAAAAAAACAACAACTAATCACTTAAAATTCAAGGTTCTGTAGGGAGATGCTGCTCCAAACAATTTCAGTTCAAACTATTTTTTGTGGGGCTTCTCCAAAATCAAGCCACAGTACTCACGATACAATAAACACCACTTTCATTAGTGGTTTCAGTGATTATATCAATGGCACCTTAACAATTGTTTATTAAAGGACACAAAGATGAATCATGTTCTGCTTGTGCAGAGATAGTGGGTCCTGTCTTCTAGATAGATAACTTCTAAAGACCCGCCCAGAGAACTAACTGCAGAAGGATCCTAAAATCATCACAACCATTAACAGCCAAAGTGAGCACGCCACAGTGATCCGGGAAGGTCGTTTTAAACGTGCAGCAGTTAGAACTTGGTCATTGTGTGTGATTTAATGAGAGCTGACAGAAGAAGAGCTCCAGTTCAGGCTATAGAAACATCTCCGCATCAGAAGGAATAAGCACTGACCCTCTTTCTGGCTCTGTTTTTCTGCCTCTGTGAGGTCAGTAGCTGAGTGTTTTCTGTGTTTCTGAGGTCTGGCAGCTTCACAAGAGCCTGCCACTATGTATTACGAACACTGTGTTTTACAGTGTCTCACATCAGTAAGTCAACAAATGGTTGCCTTGACACGCAAGTGTGTGTTTCTGTGCAGTAAATTAGGGTGTGGCTAAGTATTTGTTATCTGTGGGGACAGTAAGGTGGATTTGCTACTTAGTGGGGACTTAAAGGTTCTTATGGGGACCAGTCAAATGGTCCCTTTAAGAAAAATTTCTCTACTTGGGTTGGGGGATAGGTTTAGGATTAAAATGTGAATAGAGTTTAGGTTACAAATGAATGAGAAATTAATGGAAGTCAGTGGAAAGTCACTATGGAGATAGCAGGACACAATGTGTGTGTGTGTGTGTCTGGGTGAGTGTGTGTTTTAAATCTTCCTGCTTACTGAAGCCGAAACAGTAGAGGTCACATGATCTTAGTCAACCTTTTTCAACCAAAAAAAAACATCATTTGTCATCTTCTTTTATCAGAAAAGTTATGGAGTCAAGGTTGTTTAAAAAAAATACACACACACACACAAAATTAGAAACTCAGAACTTCAGCTGGTTGTTCAAACAGATCCAGAAATGTGTTTTCTCTCAGGCTTTAATTAGTGTCTCCCTCTCCTTATATTCGATTGTTCTTTTCTTCTCTGGATTCCTTTTGGGTCAAGGCTCCCTCTCTTCTTCCCCCTCTCAGTTTATGCCAGTGTCATAAGCCTTAGCTCCTCATCCTCCTGCTCTCCTCCGAGTAACTCACTTATTCCAGCATGTCTGAGAAGAGGTTTTGTCAGGAAGATGACTGCTCTTCAATCCTTTCTCGGCTCGGTTCCGACTCTCCGCGTCCTCGAATGAAGTTCGGAGGGATGTTCTGTAGCGTGGAAGGAGCTTTTGAGAACAAAACTCTGAACTTTGAGTCGTTCAGTCCTCAAATGCAGCGACGTGGAGGTGCTCGGACCCAAACGGAAGGCCAACGAGGAGCTGCAGCAGGAGGAGGGCAGACTGTAGTCTTTCCATCTGGACACACCTACGGCAAGAAAGAGGTTCATGTTTCTCATTTTTACCTGTTTTTATTTATAGAAAAAATACACTCCACCAACAGATCCCCACATAGACAGTACTAGGAGTTTATTGCCAAATCCATCTGATTTATAAAAATTTATAATTTAGACTATTGGATCTTTTGAACCTATATGATTTGTCCTACTTTAGCTCTGTGTGCAGAAAGCTTTTAGTCATGCAGCATTATGAAAAATTATTTACCCTCTGAGAGATCTTTGTTGGTTTTACTTTTCTTTCACATATATAATTGTCTCCCATTATTCAACAAGTTTAATATCAAATATGACAGGGTTGTCAAAAATGCCTACTGAAGGTCATCCTAGAGTATCCTAAATCCGGACTTTGACTAGACCACTTAAGAGGTTGGTAAAACCGCTGTTTTGCTTTGGACCATTGGCCTGCTGTAGATGAACTCCAACCAAAGAGGAAATGTAAGTTAAAACAGCCTAAACAATGTGTTATTTTAGAATATTCTCCCCTTTATTAGATTATCAAACCCTTCAGTAGAACTGGATAAATGTCCCATCATAAGGAGTAGATGTTTCTATCGTCGTCTTAGTTGTGAACATCATAAAAACCTTGAGTTTCAGGGCAGATTGGTCACCTTAAAAATCACAGCGGTAGAGATTAAAAAAGTCAAAGGATGAAATCCCATCAGGCAGCTGGAATGTGATTTCCTATTTTATGCCTTAACATCAGCCCACTCAGGGGCTCATCAAGTTCCCAACATCTGTTACCATGGAAACAGGAGGCATTTGGGAAGTGAAGTCAGCAAGCTGAAATAGGTAGTTCCCAAAAGGACGGAAATGGAAATGACCCAGAAATTCTCCATGTTGTTAGGATAGCAGCAGATAGCATTACATTACATAGAATCAACTTTACAAGCTGCATTAGCGAGGTTTTTATCCATTATTAATTTATTTTTTACTTGAGCCATGGCTTTGTCAAGCACTGGAGTGCATTACAAAGACGCATCAGACTATGCCTGTTTAAAAAGATAAGAAGTGAAGGCAGCTGATATTAGAATAGATTCATTCCAAGTGGACAAAATCAAAGTTCAGGATAAGTAAACAGGGTTGCTTTTCTCTTAAAATGACTACTGGTTGTTTATATCAGTGTTATATGCATGTGTGGTCTTTATTTGTCATCTCAAAATTAAAATGATTATAAATATACCATGATTTGAAGATGATTCTGTTAAATGCACGTATTTAAAAGAGATTTGTACATTTAGAAATAATAATGAGGCTCTTTTGATCTAGTTTCCATATTTTACATTGATGTTTCTTTACATTTTTTAAGCTGAATCACCTTTTTTGAACATTTAAAAATGTCCTCACTGCTAATAAAGTGATTAAAGCAAGTCTGTGCTGAATTAGATGACTTGTATTTCCTCTGTAATTTGGCCAGCCTCACTCGCCAGTGCTTGATGCTTAGTTGAAAATTTTACTCACATTCATCTCATTTGATTTTTGGTTCTATGTAAAGCTACCTACAGACCAGCAGAAGGGTATAGGAAGTCATTTATCCAAATTTACCACTCTCTTTTCATCATGGAAACTGTAAGCATTACAATTATCCAGCACCACACAGCTATCTTCCAGACCACCTTCTGCTCATCCCTCCTAGTCTGGTTTAAATCTACAACTAAAAAGGACAAAGTCAAGACTGAAGATCTAATATTTGCCAAGCTGTCCTTCTTATACCATTCCACAGCCTGGAAACATTGTTATAAACCCATCTCACCAAGGTAACAACCCATTCCACTGTCTCTCTTGAGCACCAACAGGTTCAGGAACAGATTCTGCTCAAAAGCCATCACCCTAATAAACAGCTGACTCTGATTCAAAGTGTTAGGATCAACCCCTGTGCAATAACCCAATAATTCTACCTTTATTCAGCTTCTGTTTACTGGGTACCACTTATTTATTTAATATTTAATAAGTTAATTATGCGTCATTTGCTCTCGTCTCATAGCAATACTGTCCTATTGGTTTAGTCTGCCCATTTTGGTCAGAATATACACTATTGACAAAATGGGCAGACTAAAACAACAGAGCAGTAGAACATGAGCAAAGTCAATAAAAAGTGGTACTGTAACTAGTAAATAGGACCTGACAACAGGGTAGAGCAGCATGCACAGATAAAAAAGAAAGTGCACATATAGCATGTCCACATCCAGCATCTTAGCACCTGTTCTCTCCGTGCATGTTTGGATTCTCTCCAGGTACTCCAGCTTCCTCCCACTTTCCAAAAACATGACATTTTGGGTCAACTAGCAACTCCTAATTGGCCTCAGTTGTAAATACATATATATATATATATATATATATATATATATATATATATATATATATATATATATATACTTTCCCCCTTTTCCTCCAAGTTTTGGGTCCTGGCAGCTTAAGGGTTCTGCACAGTATTTTGCTCTTCCTAGAACTGCACTTTTCTGGACCGATATGTCAGATGTATTTTCAGGAAATTGTTGTAACCAGGGCCCCAGTGACCACGGGCACCACTGATGCCTTGACCTTCCAGCTCTTCCCTGAGCCCCTGGTATTTCTCTAGTTTCCCATGTTCCTTCTTCCTGATGTTGCAGTCACTAGGTATTGCTATGTAAACCACAACGTCTTTTCTATGGAAGCGAATCGTTACCATATTTCAAATAAATGCTTTTTCATTTTAAGAATGTGGTTGCATTTTGTCCACCACCGCAATGTCTGGTTGGTTTGCCATTACCATTGATGTAAAATGGGCTACTGGAACAAGAAGGAAATGGGGGAGATGTGATAACAGAGTTCTGTTGGAAAAAAAATAAATATATATGGTCACCCTATATATAATATATATATATATATATATATTTTTTTTTTTTTTTTTTTTTTTCCCAACAGTACAAAAATCTGATGCCTTTACTTTGAAGTACCTCAGCGGAAGCGTGTTCCGTGTGTATTAACGGGAGCATGACGTCATAAGCGGCTAGAACAACAATAGCTGTGTGTTTGCGTGAGTGCAGCAATTGATCAGCTGATCAGGACCGATCCAGATCCCTCAGGATGTCCTTTCAGGCCAAGAAGAGACCCGCGGTAGGTTCTAATAGAACCGACCTGAGCACCGGTCTTAGCGGGAGCTCCGGCTGGCCGGGCCGGTGATGCTGAAGCTCCGCCTGTCTGGCAGGGAGCTGCAGGGAGGAGACAGCCAGGCTGCAAAGCAGGAGAACCAACCGAACTGTTTAATGAGGGCGTCTACAGCTGCTGAGCCCATTAGCTCACTCTGCCTCTGCTTTGCTCAGTTCGGTTCCGAAAGCATTGTGAGGGGTCTCTGCTGTCTGCAGCGCGCTGCGTTCAGGGGGAGTGGGATGTTGTAGCATCCTGCACTGAAAGCTGCTTTTCCTTACAACTGTCTGGTTGCAGAAATGTCATGTTTAGCTTTATTTTTTTAGCTTCATATAACCTGCCTGGAAAGGTAAAATCAGCATCTGACATGTTAAAGAACTAAAACAAAGCCTCTTTGTGATTCCCTGCATGATAGAAAGGGGAGCACATTCCAGGTGGGTTTTCCCATAGACACCATGGAAATCAGATTCTCATCTGATGAGACATCTGAGCTTGGAAATAAAGTCACATGAAGCTTAGTGACCAAGATGCTGCAGAGTCCCCAGGTTCTCTTGATCTGAGGAGAACTCCAGATTACATTCTTTGGTCCTGGATTGAATCCTGATTGGATCTGACCCCGTCTTTAGATACAATATTAAAGAAATATGACCAGTAACCAGTTCCTTGCGTCACCCCAATATGCTGGAAACTATGAGCTTGTTTTAGAGGAAAGCAGAACTCCAGACCTAAACCTGTCTCCAGGATTCATTGTTGTCCCTTTTTAGTTGAATGGGGTCAACTGTTGCACTGTTCATGAGTTGTCCTGTTACTGACAACTTAAAGTAGGTCCTAATTTGGTGAAACCTCCTCCTATTCTTAATTTACCCATCAGCCTTTCTCTCTTTGTTTCCAGGGCGACCGTCTCATCATCAAAGGAGGAAAGATTGTCAATGACGACCAGTCTTTCTATGCCGATGTCTACATCGAGGATGGTACCATCAGGTAAGTATTCACTCCCTCCAACAGCTGACCACTAGGTGTAATCATGATCACCTCTAAAATGATGTAATTTCCTGTTTGCTGACAGACAGATTGGCGAGAACCTGATTGTCCCACCTGGTGTGAAGACACTGGATGCATACGGTCAGCTGGTAATCCCTGGAGGAATCGACGCAAACACTAACCTGCATACTCCACAGAAAGGCCTGAACCCATGTGATGACTTCTACCAGGGAACCAGAGCTGCCCTGGCTGGAGGAACCACCACCATCAGTCAGAGAACATCAATAATCTATGAATACTACTAGTTATTCTGAATTGTTGGCCTCATTTATGTCTTTGTCTGCAGTCGACCATGTGCTGGTGGAACCAGGCGTTGGCTTAATGTCAGCATTTGATCAGTGGAAGGAGGTGGCAGAGCAGAGGGCGTGCTGCGACTTCTCCTTCCACCTGGACGTGGCACGATGGCACGAAGGCCTGTATGAGGAGCTGGAGACACTCGTCAAGGATAAAGGTGATTATTAAAGATTAAATTGGTAGTATAGAATATAGAATCAATCCATCCATCCTTTTTCGACACTCTTATCCCTACTGGGGTCGCAAGAGATGTCAATGGGTGGGGACAATATAGAATAGAATAGAAAAATTCTATGCATGACAGTGGCTAAAACAGATATTAAGAAGATATTAGACATAGCATAAAAAATGTATGAATAAAAAAGGGAATAAATAAGCTTTAAAGCTGAAGAAAAAACATATCAGCAAGGGAAAAATGCTGCAATTAATAACATGCAATGCAACATATTTTGGTAGAAATGCAATGTTCATTTGAATAGAAGAAAGATAGCAGCCTATTTAGAGAATGATGTGAAGAAAATGAGCAATTTGCATCACCACAAACAAACACTTTCAGAAAAGCTTCAAAGTCTACAAATTGATTTTGGCATCTAAGAGACATTGTTAATGATTGTTGATCAGATCAAAAAACAATGGCACCAGCAGCTGTTTGTAGACACCTATTGAGTTGATTGGAGTTGCAGAATATTGTCACTCAAGTCAAACATACTAAATTGATCGTGAAGAGGAGGTAAATAATCAATCATCACCATTGTAGCATTAAATCGATGACTAGGAACGAGACGGATAAAAAAAAGACAAACTGGTTTTCCTAAAATGCTATTGGATGGAAGAATGGCAGTTAACAAGTCACTCTAGATGGCTGTTTATAATTTTTTGTGGAACACTCTTGGGGGCGCTGTGGGCAGTGTTGGCTTCGTGGGTTAGAGCAGTGCGCTTGTGCCCTAAGAAGGTTGCAAGTACCAGATTCGATCCCCACAGACCGCCACTCTGGGTCACTGAGCAAAACCCTTAACCACACACTGCTCCCCGGGCGCCGCACAATGGCAGCCCACTGCTCCCCAATAGGATGGGTTAGATGAAGATGTACATTTCTCCAATGTGAGATCAATAAAGTTCGATTATTATTTATTATTATGAGTACTAATTTTATTAAATAAATGTGTTTAGGCACATGTGACTGTGTATATTGTCATATGTACATAAACATATTTATTTGCTCACTTAATAAACATTTGGAGTGGTATTAAATCAGAAGATAAACTGAAATCTGGAAGATTGTTAATGCTTCTTGACTATAGGAAGAAAGAAAATGATTAAATGTGTTTTACTTCATACCCAATTACAGCCATAACCACTAAATTATACATCGAACAATTACATTCATCTATTACATTAAGTCATAAATTGTAATATCTGCATGGTAAATGTGTATTGACTATAGTACTGATTGTAGTACTGGTTATAATAACTGTAGTACATGCTTGTGTACTTCCAGTAGTATTGTTTCAATGCAGTGCTGACTTTAGTATTGACTATAGTACTAATTGTATTATTGATTACATTGAATAGTGCAGTACATACTGTTATACTTCCAGTATCAGTAGTAAGAAAAGTAGTTAAAAAAAAGTTGTTCTTCTTTTACTGACTGTATTATTGTCTGTAGTGTTGATTGTAGCTTTGATTATATTGAGTATAGTACTCATTATAGCAGGGGCGTGCACACATAGACACTAGGTGGTGCTAAAGCACTAGGAAGTTTGCCCTCTATCAAAGAAAATGCCCTTTTGAAACTCGTTTTTTTTTTTATTATTATTATTTCTATTATTAAGATTTTCTGAGGTCGGTTTTGAAATGATCTTTCGAAAAACCTGAGCCATGAAAAACGACTGAAACAATGCCCC